ACCTTAGTGACCAAGACAAGGTCAGGCAAGTGGGTGTTCGGCTGTTATGGCTGCTGAAATGGGGAGCTGGTCCCTTCACAAGAAAGAGTTTATTGGTGACTTACAGATTTGAGGAGTTAGAGTCCATGAACATCATGACAGGGAGCATGGCAGCAGGAAGGCCTGGGATGATACCACTTATAATGAGCTAGGCCCTCCCACAACAATCACCGATTAGGAAAAATGCCTTACAGCCAGATCTTATGGAGACATTTTCTCAACTGAGGTTCCCTCCTTTCAGATAACTAGTTTGTGTGTCAAATATGTTGGGGTCCATAGAAATGGCTTTGCTTCATTTTGGCTTAAGGTCAGAGAGTTCAAAACTATCCTTACTCTTCCAAGGTTAAAGTCATTAACAACTAAAAGTCTAAGGTGTTAGCTCTTAGGTGTGTATGTCTTATCTAAATAACAAGAGACTTAGTCTAAGGTGTGGTTACTCTAGCCCTCCATGTAATGCTGCCCCATTTTTATTGCTGAACTACTCCCACCAGATAGTGAACTAACAATGTGACTGAAGAAACACGGGTCATGTAATATATTCACCACTCAAGGTACACGAGAGGTGTGAATGCTTACCATATAGTTGGAAGAGGAGTTGAATACCTGACTTTAAAAATATGTTATTTAGTTATAACTCATACACTTCAAGTAACCACTAGACTTAACAATGGGCTCACAAAATGCCTGAAAAATTTCCAGCTGGCTCTTTCAAGCTACCAAATGCTAGGATGTGACCTTTATCACAGATGATATACTCTTGCTTGAAGTAAGATATGTTGTTATTATAACCCAGGCTACAGTTTCTGGAGGAGTAAGCAGATGGTCAAAGCTCAGTGTTCAGGAAGAGATAAAGCAAGTGCAACTTTATCTTCCTACTATCAAAGCTTGGGGAATTTCTGAACACTCAAACCCTAATAGCTGAGCAGTGGGTTAGGCATTGATTCCTATCACTAAGAAGGCATCCTCTGGGTGTTTGATTTCCCAAATTGGCCTTCCTACTGGAAGAGGAAGTCCAGAGCAGCTAGGGTGGAGATGGGGCAGTTCTATGATTTAACTTAAAAATATAAAAATAAAATATAAAAATATAAAAAATAAAAAATTTAAAAATAAAAATATAAATTACATAAAAATAAAGAAGATGGTGTCCTATGCTATGATAAAACACCATGACCAAAGCAACCTAGGGAAGAAAGGACTTACTTTTTTGTCTCCTCATCACCGAAGGAAGTCAGGACAGGAAATCAAACAGGGCAGGAACCTGGGGTTACAAGCTGATGCAGACACCATGGAAGAGTGCTACTTACTGGCTTGCTACCCCTGTCTTGCTCAGCCTGCTTTCTTAAAGAACCCAGGACCACCAGACCAAGGATGACACCACCCACAATGAGCTGGGCTTTCCCCTATCAATCACTGATTAGGAAAGTGCTTTACAGGCTTTCCTACAGCAGGCCTTATGGAGTCTCTTCTCAGATGACTGACTATAGCTTGTGTCAATATTCACAATTAGCACAGGCAACACAGCAAAATTCATCACAGGCAATTCTGAAAGACATATGACTATCTTGAAAAAAAGAAATGTAGTTTGCATTTTTGTAATATAAAATAAGGACTAATTTCTTACATATACACATTCATCTATAGACAGATACATGCCAGAATAAAGTCTTGTTACGTCACATAAGGTATGCCACGTATCACTGACAGTAAAAGAACTGTTTCCCTTTACAGATTCAGCCCAGGGACAGATAGCACAGAATGTGTATGTATTATCCCTACAAAAGGGTGAGAAAAAAAGAGAAACATTTGTACATGCTTTTTATTTGTATTTGCATAAACCATGGCCAGGACAGAAGCATGAAGATCAGTGTGTATCTTTCCACATAGTTTTGACTTTTGAAATCATTAATATTACCTACTAAAATTAAATTTTAAAAAGCTGTGTCAATGGTAGTTGAGGTCTGTCAGCATTTTGTCCTTCATTATTTGTATTTCAAAGAACTATATAATGATTTCATGAAAAACTGTAATTTATTGTCACTTTTTACCATTTGTTTTCACAGAAATCCTATCTCTGGGAATCTCTTTTAAGACATACTTGACAGTGACCATGTAGGTTTGTTAAAATTTTAAAATGTGATAGGTTAGCTAGTTAAAGCAAGGGAGCATACACATGAGGGAATGCTACAGTGAATTGCTAGGCAATGCTTTATTAAACATCTAGCTAGCGGATAATATTTCTGTCTTAATCTGGCTTTGCTTTTCAAAATTTATAAATTACATTTATTTTTGTGTGGGGGAGGGTGGGGTGTGAGCATGTCATGGCACACACGTTGAGTTAGAGGACTTGTGAGAGTTGAATTCTCCTGCAATGTGGGTCACAGGGATCACACTCAGATCTTAGGCTTGCAGCAGAAAGTATCTTTACTTCTGTTGCATCTCACCATTTCTCTAGCCATGTTTTATATGTAGATTAGGATCTTCTAATTTACACTCCATTGTACCTCATCAAAAAGCTGAAAATATAAAGAAAACAATAGATTCTCCTCCTTCCCCTCAACATTTTCCTTTTGTAATTTGGCTACAAGACACAATAAAACCTGCCTGAGAGCTTCTCCTCTGACTTCCTGGCCCATCTTTCTCCCATCTGTGTTGTGATTATTGTAGGAGCTAAAAAATCCCATTATTTATAGTGTACATGTATTCCTTTATTGAGGTCCTACGGGTCTTCAGTTATTTTGGGTGATTTTTCTCTGCCTTCCCTTTCAAAAAGCTCTAAAGGTAGAAACAAAGCAAGTAGTAAAGGATAGAATTTGGGTCCCTAAGATTGACTCAGCCAGAAAGGGTGCCTGACCTGCTTTTAGTCTTGCTCCCCCTAACTCCCAACTCCCATGGTAGGAGAGGACTGATTCCCGAAAGTTCTTCTCTAACCTTCGCAGGAGACTGTGTCATGTGCTCACTCTCTCTCCTTCCTCCTCCTCACCTCTCTCTTACTTACAAAATAAATAAATGGAATAATTTAAAAAAATAGAATATGTGTGTGCCTGCTGTCAACTTGTAGCCACAGGAAGCTCTGTTAAAGTCTCTGCTGCTTGTATGTATAGGTAGATCTGTCACTTCTGCAGTCAGGACATCAGTCTAAACATAGACCCTCCAGACTGGAAGACCATGGTCACATCTCAACCACAGGCTTTCAGAATATTCCACAATGACCACCAATATGAAATATTGCTGAAAATGATGCAGAAAATGCATGTACACAGCTAACAACATAAATGTCTAAAATACATACTATATTCCGAGAAGACACTTCCCCTCTGTGATGGGACATGCTGTAACATGTTCTGTTTTATTCCATTCCTACCAGGCTAGGATCTCCAGTAGAAAAACATTACTTTAGCCAAGCACGGTAGGACATATTTTTTGTAATCATGGCACTTTGGAGGTGGAGGCAGGAGGCATTCAAGATCATACTCAGCTACACACTGAGCTACATGAGACCCCCGTCTCAAACCACTAAAACCAACTAAAGAAACCAGATTACTTTAAGCTTTTACTTTGAAGTAAACAAATGGAAGCTCCCCAAATTTAGACATATATTTATAATTATGTGTAACAAGTGTTCAAGGCCAGATTTCCCTCACCCTTTGACACTGAATGATTCAGGAACCAGATCTCCCCACCTCCTCTCTTTTTCTCTCCGTACTACCTCAGTCACTACCTTGATGGCCTGACCCAATCTCCTAGCTTTAAAAACACATATCAAAAATTTAAATTTATAACTTCATCCTCCCACAAGCTGTTATCAAAGCCATAAAATGATTCCGAGCAGGGAACTAAGGAACTCTGACTTACATTAGTCCATCAACAGCATTTGACTCAGCTGTGAGTCCAAATTCTACTTGGTAATTTCCCAGGCTGCAGACTCACAGAACAGATTTGCCCTTTCTCAACTCCATCTCTTCCTTCTGCATCTCTCTTAGAAAAACAAGTTTCATTCTTCTACTCTTAAGTCTTCCCATCACACCATGTTTGAGGGCCTAACATTTAAAAAAGTACTAAACAAATTAAAATTATATCACTATATAAAGAAAATCTATCAACTATCCAAACAATTTAAGTCAAATGAAAATGAAATGGAACTACTTAAAATGCATATACTAAAAAGTTAATAAGGAGCCAGGCAGTGGTGGCGCATGCCTTTAATCCCAGCACTTGGGAGGCAGAGGCAGAGGCAGGTGGATCTCTGTGAGTTTGAGACCAGCCAGGTCTGCAAGAGCTAGTTCCAGGTCAGCCTCCAAAGCCACAGAGAAACCCAACTCCCCTCCCCCCCCCGCAAAAAAAACAAAAGTTAATAAGAAATATGCTAATCAGCATCCAATACAATGTAAATTAAAACCAGGAATTAAAATGCCTGTTAAAATCAATACCTTTTTTTTGTAGCAAAAGCAACACAAAAATGGATGGGATTAATACTGGGACTTTTAAAAGGTGGATTTATTTATTTTGCTGTAAACTATGAAAAACCCCCACGTTATTTTTAAAAGAAAAAAAAATAGCTGCTCTTATGCTAGTCCTGACCATGTTCCATGTCCTCAGTGGTAGAGACCACTTCCTGCACCTTAAGGACCTGAGTTCTCAGCCTGTTGGCAGCACAAAAACACTTACCTGGGAGAAGTACCTGTCAACCATACTAATACACCATCTGGTAAGGCTAACTTATCGACCACACCTGAAGATGGTGTGGTTCCTCCCTGGGTTACCATTTCGTTTAACTCCACCGAGCTAAGGTTATTTCGCAAGAACTTGGGAATGCTACAGACCAACCATTGCCTGTCACTGATGGGTTTAGTGGGGAAAAACCCACAGCTACCTAATCAGACGTACAATGTTTACCCAAAACTTCAACATAGCTTGTACCAAGTACAAGAAAAGTGAGGTGAGTGCCAAGCTCTTTTGAGTTATGTAGGTGGCTCTGAAAAGAGCCGTTGGGTTACTGGAAAAAAAAAGCCTCCAACCGAACTGTTCACTTTTTCTTGGGCGCCGCCTTCTTGGGCTTAGCCGCGGTTTTCGGCTTCGTCACCTTCGCCTTTGCAGCCTTGGGCTTCACCGCCTTAGCCTTGGCGGGGCTCTTGGCCACTTTCTTGGGTTTCACCACCTTTGGCTTTTTTGGGCTCTTGGAAGGCTTCTTGGAGACTGCAGGCTTCTTTGGCTTTTTCGGAGTCTTCACAGTCTTCTTAGCTGCAGCCCCGGCGGTCTTCTTGGGTTTCTTCGACGCCCCCGATGCCTTCGCCTTCACTGACACCTTGGTGGTGCTAGACTTGGCCTCTGCCTTCTTGTTGAGCTTGAAGGAGCCGGAAGCGCCGGTGCCCTTGGTCTGCACCAGGGTGCCCTTGCTCACCAGGCTCTTGAGCCCCAGCTTGATACGGCTGTTGTTCTTCTCTACGTCGTAGCCGGCGGCAGCCAGGGACTTCTTGAGCGCGGCCAGAGACACGCCGCTGCGTTCCTTGGAGGAGGAAACAGCCTGCACGATGAGCTCAGACACCGAGGGTCCAGCCGGCTTCTTGCGAGGTGCCGCAGCCTTCGCCGGCTTCTTAGTCTTCTTTGCAGCCGCGGGCTTCTCTGGAGCAGCGGAAGCAGCCTGAGCGACGGGTGGGGTCTCCGACATGGTTGGTGCAGATGATAGCACAAGTAATGCCAAGGCGAAGAAAAGAAGTAAAGAGACAAGGCCTCCGCGCGGCGTATTTATAGAGCAGGGCCGCGCTGTGATTGGTGCACGCTAAAGCCCGCCCCTTAGACCCTGGAAGCCCCGCCCCCACGGTCCCCGACGCGTTTGCAAGATCTTTGCTCCTAACTAGTTCTGAAGTCCAGGACTCTAGGGACCTATAATCACACTGCCTCGCTGCGCGCAGAGGCCCTCCCAGACCTTTCTGGCTGGCTGCTTAAGGTGGGAATTTCAAGCACAGCAGGGACACCACAAGACCGTAGATGTCTATCAAAAAGTAGCTGAAATGGTGAAGGGTGTCTAAATTAGCCAATCAGAACCCAAGCAGTTTGGCTGTTGAGGTGTTAGAGATAGCTTGTAGATCAATACTTCCATGGTTAGAGGATCAGAAAACCAGGCTGTAGACCTTGTAGACGAGCTTCTGTACTGAAGAGCTATGTAACGTCACTTTATATTTTAGTTAAGGTATAGTTTTTTAGGGATTTAAGAAGCTTCTTGCTATAGTGATTTAACATTTCGAACCAATAGCGCTAATAAGATGTGGTTGAACTGTTCACTACAGTTCTGACAAAGCACCCATTATTGGTCGGGAAAGCAAGGCCATGACATGAATTCTCATCCCGACAAGTCCAAAATAGCTAGGAGGGGGAAAAAAAAAACTTGTCTAGTTTCTTTTAAAGAAAATACAAAATAATATAATCATTATGACCGGTAATAGTGTCTTATAAAAACAAAAGTTGGAAGGGTGATTTCTGGCCAAGAATACTGGAAAATGTTTGAGTGCAAGAACTCAAAGCATCTAAACAGATTCAGCTGTTTAGTGGATAAATATGCAAAATAACGTGACTCAGATTTCTGTACTATCTTAATGCCATGTTTCTCCCCATTGTTTTAATTGTAGCTACAGACCAAAGGGAGACCGGGCATGCAAATAAGGGATTCAAGATCTGCTTTTTTAGTGGCTACTGAGGAAAACACAGTAAACCAATCAAAACGTAGAATCTGGCCTACCGAGGCAAAACGCAGAATTTCATTAAGCATTTCAATACTCGAGACATCAAGTTTGTTCTCGATTCTTTAGTAGCAGCAAAGCAAACTTTCTATGTGTTGGCCGGCAGAGGTGCTGGAGAGATTGACAGTCACCACAATCTTATTTCATTTTATTTAAAACACACACGCACACACACACACACACACACAAGGGCGGCTGAAGACTAACTTAGGGAAAATGCAATGGCAGTTCTTCAACCAATCAGAGTCTTAAACGTCACAGGTGAGCAGTCGTTTCACCCAATCATTAGTTTTTGTAGACTATAAATACTAGCTCGGTAGGCATCCAGAGCCGCGTTCCAAGTACTCAGTCTTGCACTGCTACACTCAGTCTTGTACTGCTACAAGTGTCCTCTATGGCTCGTACGAAGCAGACAGCCCGCAAGTCCACCGGCGGCAAGGCCCCGCGCAAGCAGCTGGCCACCAAGGCTGCCCGCAAGAGCGCACCGGCCACCGGCGGCGTAAAGAAGCCTCACCGCTACCGTCCCGGCACTGTGGCGCTGCGCGAGATCCGGCGGTACCAAAAGTCCACCGAGCTACTGATCCGCAAGCTACCGTTCCAGCGCCTGGTGCGTGAGATCGCCCAGGACTTCAAGACCGACCTGCGCTTCCAGAGCTCGGCCGTCATGGCGCTGCAGGAGGCCTGTGAGGCCGACCTGGGGGGTCTGTTTGAGGACACCAACCTGTGCGCCATCCACGCCAAGCGAGTCACCATCATGCCCAAGGACATCCAGCTGGCCCGCCGTATCCGTGGGGAGAGGGCGTAATTAGTTACGTTTTAAAGTGTCAACCAAAGGCTCTTTTCAGAGCCACCCACAATTTCAAGTAAAATGGCTGTGAAAACGCTCGGTCCAGTTCTCAAACCAAGCTGAGCTTGGTTTGAATCTAAAACCATTATAACTTCTCAATCTATATCATCTGAGTTTATTCGATTCTAAGTTTGAACAACCCCTCAAGGAGCGGAGTGGCGTTTTGAGCGTCCGGTTCTACCCTCATGGTTTTATTCTCAGTTTTTAAATAAAAACTTCCCTTGGAATGAGTATATTTAACACACGCTTTACATTGAGATTCCCAAAGCACTCGGGTAACGCTCAAGGGTGGCGGCTGTGGCGTCACTTCCCGCCAGCGGGCTTTCGGTTATGTTGGGCGAAAGACCCGGATCTATGTCCTCAATTTCCCGCCGGCGGACTTTCGGCTCTGTGGAGCAGGTTAAGGGCGGGGTTGGTGACGTTACTTTCCCGCCGGCGGGCATTCTGCACTGTGGAGCAGGTTAAGGGCGGGGTTGGTGACGTTACTTTCCCGCCGGCGGGCTTTTGGCTCTGTGGAGGTTAAGGGAGGAGTTTGTGACCTCACTTTCCCGCCGGCGAGCATTCGGCTCTGTGGGGCAGGTTAAGGGCGTGGTTTATGACGTCACTTTCCCGCCCGCGGCTTTCGGCTCTGTGGGGCAGGTTAAGGGCGGGGTTTGTGACGTCATTTTCCCGCCGGTAAGTTTTCGGCTCTCGCGTTCTGTTGGGGTGGGGACTGAGGCAAAGCAACTATATAAGGACCCGCTCCCTTGTACCGCTCATTTTGCATCGCTCATCTTGCTTTCAGCTTTGCTTATTTCTCTAGCCATGTCTGGTCGCGGCAAGGGCGGGAAAGGCCTGGGCAAAGGCGGCGCCAAGCGCCACCGCAAAGTCCTCCGCGACAACATCCAGGGCATCACCAAGCCCGCCATCCGCCGCCTGGCCCGCCGTGGCGGAGTCAAGCGCATCTCCGGCCTCATCTACGAGGAGACCCGCGGGGTGCTGAAGGTGTTCCTGGAGAACGTGATCCGCGACGCGGTCACCTACACGGAGCACGCCAAGCGCAAGACCGTCACCGCCATGGACGTGGTCTACGCGCTCAAGCGCCAGGGCCGCACGGGTTAAAAGCCTTTCCATTCTTTTGTCTATTCTCATAACCAAAGGCCCTTCTCAGGGCCGCCCATCTACTCTGGAAAAGCGTTGTAATGCTGAGCCATGCAGCTTGCTTTGGATTACATCCCGGAAAACGAAGGCTGGGAGAAACCGAGGAAGCACAAGTAATTAATCGCTTTCTAATGAAAATACAGCTTTCTTTAACGTTTCCCCATGTGCATTGCATTCAGTGGTTTGGTTAGTGAGGTCTCCAAGGTATTAGAGGCGTCTTGCAGGACAAGTACTGACTTATCAAGTGTGGGTAGCCAAGCGGCCTCTTTCTTGGTTTCCTGAGGGAAGCGATAGTGAGGATGGATGGGAAAGTGACTACACAGTTTTAATTCAACTGTGAACACTGGGAAGTCCAGATGTCGGAGAAACATTTAGTGCTGTGTATAGCTTCCGTTTCATGGCCCCCATTTACACCCTCACCATGTGGCTGCGGTTGGTAAAGGCAGGTGTGTTCTTTAAATGGCTTCCTTTACTTAGGATTTTTGTGCATGGATGTAGGCAAGTATCTCCTACAGCTTCGAGTTCAAGCCGTGTAAATTTCAGAACCTAACTAAAGGCGATGTGAACTCACTTGTTTTCTAATCTGTTTTCTTCTGGGCTGGCCTAGAAAACTTGATTCTTTACCTCCTAAGTGCCAGGATTACTGTTGTTTACCACCACACCCAGTTTGGCAGGACCTTTTTTAAAATTTTTTTTTTAATTTTAGGCATTACTTTTTATAAGGGACAGATTAGAATCTCACTCAGCCTATCACTGTTAGCTATAGGTCTGGATGTCTCTCCCTGATTTGGTATTTCTGTTTTCCAACCGTGGATTTCTTGCAGGGGGCGCGAAGGGACGGGTAAAGTATTAAGCATAGCTGAAAAGAATTCATAGGTACATCCTGGAAGGTTTCAGGAATAGACCAGAGGGTGGTTGATCATTTTATTACTTTTTACTTGAATTCATTCCGGAGCTATTTGGTATTGTATGTGTTCCCGGAGGCCACCAGAGAGCACTTCGAATTCTCATGAGCAGTAAGTCTGTAGCTGCAGATCTCTTATTTGAGAGATCAGTGGCCAGAATAGCCTTTAAGGTAGGCCCGACCTTTTCTTAAATACTAGTAGACATATATTCTCCTGGTTGGTATCTACCTCTGCTGTGGCTAGAAACCTCACTTTCCTCAATCAGTTTATAATGTCCTGGATTTGCAAGTCTGCATTAACGCTCAAGATAGACAGGAAACACCCTTATTGAGTCCATTGGGGCAGTGCTATAGTGTGGCTTAAGTGGAAGTCTGGGAACTTTGTACACGGTTTCATGACCTTTTCACTTTATAAAGAAATAAAGACTACAAAATTTAAGATGAGATTGGGCTATAGCCTGATATATCTCAAGACGAAAGTCAGTGACATGACTAATTGGGTAAAGCTGCTGCCAAATCTGAAGAACTGAATTCAAATTCCTGGACCCACATGGGAGACCCAGTTCTCCTAAATTATCCATCCTCTGGCATCCACAAGTATTCTTTGGTACGTGCACACCAGCAGACACACACACACTGACACAGGTACACATACAGTATCATAAAATAAAATATCCTAATTTTTTTAAAAGACAAAAGAGAACCGGAAAGATAGATCAGTGGCTAAGAGCACTGGCTGCTCTTCCAGGGAACCTACATTCAATTCCCAACACCCACAGGATGCCCTGCAATCCTAGGAGCTCCAATTCCCTCTGGTCTCTGGGCAACAGGCATGAAAGTGGTGCGAAGACATACATGAAAGCAAAACGTCCATACAGCAAAGTAAAAACACCTGGTAGAAACATTGGTCATTATCTCTTTATCTCTGCCCCACCGACCCCAAATAGGAGTTGGGGGCCGCCCAAGTACAGAGAAACCGATAGCGTAGTTCAGAATGTAGACACAGAAATGCACAGCTTTTTGAGGAACGAGTGGGTGGCCCTGAAAAGGGCCTTTTGCGACACTGGAGAACAATGGCTTAACCGCCGAAGCCGTAAAGCGTGCGGCCCTGGCGCTTGAGGGCGTAGACCACGTCCATGGCGGTGACGGTCTTGCGCTTGGCGTGCTCCGTGTAGGTGACCGCGTCGCGGATCACGTTCTCCAGGAACACCTTCAGCACCCCGCGGGTCTCCTCGTAGATGAGGCCGGAGATGCGCTTGACTCCGCCACGGCGGGCCAGGCGGCGGATGGCGGGCTTGGTGATGCCCTGGATGTTGTCGCGGAGGACTTTGCGGTGGCGCTTGGCGCCGCCCTTGCCAAGGCCTTTACCACCTTTGCCGCGGCCAGACATAGTTAAGTCCTTTAACTGCTGAACAACAAGCCGGAGAGCCTAGTTGACTGCGGCTTATATTATAGACTATCGGACCTGGTTGAGAACCTCATATGGGCGGGGACCAAAAGGCTGCCAACGCGCCGGCAGCAGGGCGTAGACCAAAGAGCAGAACACAGTAAATATGGCTTTTCTGCAGTATCCCCGTTTTTTCCCCGACTTGGACTATGCTACTAATCTATCCTAAGTTATATTTTTGCTTATTATCCCAGCAAAGAATTACATTTTTATGGCCCAGTACTTGAAGGAGTTAAAATATATACCGCTCTAAATCATGTACGCTTAAAGCATAAAAACAACAAAAATAAACTGGTGTTAGGATTCAGGTATTATGCTGGCTTGCCCCTGACACCTGGCAGAATGCACTTAGGCTGTACCTTGATCAGCCCAGGGTTCCATGATTGCATAGTCTGCACACAGATGCCAAGGACCCCTTTAAAAGAAAAACCCCGCCCACTTTTGCTGTCTTTCCGACTCCTCTCTTTCTAGATCTCTTTCTGCTCTCTCCCTTTTTCCTGCTGTTTCCTGGGTCAGACAGGACTTTTCCTGTCTCCCTCTTCTATTCTGTCTACTCTTTCTGTCTCTGTGTCTCTTTACCTATTTTCTCTACCCACCCCACGCCCTTCCCTTTCTTTCTTTTTTTTTTTTGTTTTTTTTGTTTTGTTTTTTGTTTTTGTTTTTTTCGAGACAGGGTTTCTCTGAAGCTTTGGAGCCTATCCTGGCACTCGCTCTGGAGACCAGGCTGGCCCCGAACTCACAGGGATCCGCCTGCCTCTGCCTCCCTAGTGCTGGGATTAAAGGCGTGCGCCACCAACGCCCGGCACGCCCTTCCCTTTCTAATAAAACTACTCACTAAAAACTGTCTGCCTGGCATGTTTATCCCTCTGCGTAGGTCACCCTCGCTTGCCCCGGAATCCTCCAAGGATCCCCTCGAGCTTTATCATAACAACTGGTGCCAAAAGAACAGAAAAGTGAAAAATCCGGTGTGAAAGACACTAGAACAAAATAAAATATTTTTATTACTAGGAATAACTGAGGCAGAGAAAAATTGGTACAAGTAAATCTTGTTAAAATACTCCACATTGCTCAAGTCCCTTTGCTTTGTCAAATCGTTGCACTTGGCTATTCTTTGCCTGATTCTATATGTAATCGATTCACTGCTTCTTTTAATTATTTTTTCCTTTGTTTTTGTTTTTGGAGAGAGTTTCTCTGTGGAGCCCTGATTCTGGAACTTGCTCTGTAGACCAAATTGGCTTAGGTTTGCCCGTCTCTGCCTCCCAAGTGCTGGCTACTATTTTTTAATTAGAGCAGTAAAATTGTTAAATGCTTGGTGCTTGTATTCTCTTAATTTAATTTGCAAGTCCTAAGCAGGACTCCTAGAGGATGGAGGTGGGATTTTTCCCAAACCTATACAATGTATGTTATCATTCAAAGGGATAAATTAATAGACTTTTGAACTGTTTTCCCCTACTTCCGTTTAGCCTATAAAACTCTTCTGATAATGCTGTCAGTATTTTGTGAGAATTGGATTGCATAATACATTAAGATGAGATTGTTCCAAAGCAGTAGTACTACATAAACATATTTGCTTGTTAATATTTGTGCTGGCTAGTTTTATGTCAACTTGACACAAGCTAGAGTCATCATAGAGGAGGAAGCCTCAATTGAGAAAATGCCTTCATTAAGATAGGTCTGTAGGCAAGCCTGAAGGGCATTTTCTTAATTAGTGACTGATGAGAGAGGACCCAAGCTCATTGTGGATGGTGCCATCCCTGGGCTGGTGGTCCTGGCTTCTATAAGAAAACCAGTTGAGCAAGCCATGGGAGCCAATTAATAAGCAGTACTCCTCCTTGTTTTCTGCAACAGGTTTTGCCTCCAGATTCCTGCCTGAGTTCCTGTCCTGACTTTCATCAATGACTAATAAACCCTTTCCTCCCCAAGTTGCTTTGGTAATTATGTTTTATCACAGCAATAGTAACCACAACTAAAACTTTTAATACAGAAATATTTTTATATCAGGTTATTACTTCCAACACACTATCACTATCATGTGTATTAGGATTGCTTTTAATCACTATATGAATATATATGATAATGGCATATCCTTTTGTATTTTGTGGGTGAAATTTTAAAACTTGTTTGAAAAGTTCTTTTGGTCCTTTTCCCCAAGGTGTATTGGCAATTATACCCCAGCTTTTTCCAGTCAAGATGCAGTGTGATTCTAGTTTATGAATTTCCATTCACTTTTTTTTCTACATGCTTAATTTTTCTCAGATACTTCTTACTCAGGAAGTTGCTTCTACTGGTAAAGACAAAAAGTCCTTCTGTCTTTCTATCCTCTCTCCATTTTCTATTTCCTCCTCTTCCTTGTTTTTTCCAGAAAGAGTCTTACCATGTAACCACAGATGGAATTTGCAGTCTTCCAGAGCTAGGTTACTTACTTGTGCTACTGTATATGACTTTGCTGTTAAACTTTTAAATCTAAAGAGTGGGTCCTGAACTTCAATACTTCCTTTTCTTTAAAAGCCTTGAATGCTCAAACTGTTGTCTTCAAAAGCACTAGCTATAAATTTCATCCTGTGCCTAATAGCACTCTGTGGTACCTGGATGATAGGTGTTTACTAAAGATCTTGGAACAAACAATATCTAATATATCTAATGCATGCTATCTATTCAATTATATATAGAGGAAGGTAAAACTTTACTGTTAGGACCTGCATCTAGGCTTGAGAATGAATTTGGCAAAAATGTTTTATAGAACTTATAGGACAAGGCAACTAGACTCTATACACAAATGAAGACCAAAAGAAATAAGAACTTAAAAGTGTTTTTATTCCAAGTGGAGGTACAGACAGGCAATTGTGGGAGATTAAGTTATGTGTGAACTCTAAAGAAAGCTAAACATTGTTTTAGCAAATTTCCAAATTCACTTAGCCTTCAGTACCTGATAGTTTGTTACATAATGATCTCATCTATAGCCTTCTGCTCAAGAATATTTCATTTCTCCTGTTTTAGGGAGAGAATAGGGAGATATTAGACAAAAATAGTTCTTGTGAAAACAAAAAAACAAAACAAACCTAAAAGACCTTGAATTTCTTCCATTGTTCATTTTTAAGTACATGCTAATACTTTATAAATTGAGATTGTATGCAACTAAGTGATGCCAAGTGAAAAGTAAAATAAAGAAAAGTATACAGTTCAGAAAAATTGAAACCAGACATTCAAATATATCCCATTGACAATCAAGTAAGATAGATGGTGTTGATCCCATTTTCAGATGGAGAAAATGATCCCTTTCAGATGACACAGTAGGCACCAAGGGTAGCATTTGAGTCTGAGCAAGCTTCCCACAGAAATGGCTACATTATGATGCTAGGTTCCTTCCCTTTAAAGGAAATTTATTTATCTTTGTGAAATCCTATTAAAGCCTCATGTAAAGGAATACTGAATCCAGAATCCATTTTTAACCCTTGGTTTTAGGACTATGGAGCCAGCAAGAGCCAGGCTAATTTAAGTTACCCATCTTACTATTGAAAAAAAATTGGAAGTACTGTCAACACCTAGCCACAGAATACTAGTTTCTTAGAAAGGAGAAGACAAATAAAAACCAAAGTGAAACAAGAGACATCAAAGGCAACACAGCTAAAACCTAAATACTGATATGCTGGGCCTTCAAGGGACACCATTGTCAATACCTGTGGATGACAAGTAGTTGCCAGGCACAGCGGTCTTTAACAGCTTCCGGGGGAAAAAAAAAAAAAAAAAAAAACTACCTGGAAGTACACCGTTACTCTCTGCCTCTTTTGTTTGTTTACTGGGTATTGAATCTAGGCCTTCACACTAGCTAAGCAAGTACTGTCTCCCTTTGACCTCTATCCCAACCCCTTCTAATTGAGACAAGGTACTACTAAATTACCAGGGCTATCTTTGTACTCACCCTATAACCCAAAGTTCAAGCTTGTGATCCTGTCCCCCTAAGCCCAGTAAATGCTGACTTTCATTATTTAAAAAAAAATATTTTGTAAATCTAGAAAACATATACAAACAAATTGCCCCTTCAAGTTAGAACTGGGCAACATCCCATTGTTTTTTCACACACCAGATGCAGACTATTAGGTATATGACACTCGTGGAAAAGGAACATGAAACCAAGATCTGTAGTAAAAGAGCCTCTATAGTTGAAAAATATGGTACAAAACTTTTACTGTATTTCAATATATCTCAGCATAATGTAAATATTTTAATGTAAATATTCTACTTCCAATTACCTACTTACCAGCACCTGATCCATTAAGCTCTCACTTCTAGAAGAGGAATATTTTTTTCCAGATTTCCAGTAAGAGCAACACCTCTGAACACTGAATACACCCTGGTAATAAGGTTGTGAGACATACAAGTGGTACAACAAACTTGTACACAAAAAGATTTTTTAAAAAAATACAATAATCCAGGTAAAATCAAAGTCAAGAGCAAACACATGGATCCGATTTGTAAAAAACATGAGCATTTGCTCGGCAATTTACCCGTTTAAAAAGTCTTGACTTTATAAAGCACAACACAACAGGACCATCAAACAGTGCCATAAAAGGTGAAACCACTTTGAATCACAGCTGCTTTTACAGAAGATGTGGGTGGCTCTGAAAAGAGCCTTTGGGTTCTACTTGGCACTCACTACCGTTTATGCTCTTTCTCCGCGGATGCGGCGGGCCAGCTGGATGTCCTTGGGCATAATGGTGACTCGCTTGGCGTGGATGGCGCACAGGTTGGTGTCCTCAAACAGACCCACCAGGTAGGCCTCACTGGCCTCCTGCAGCGCCATGACGGCCGAGCTCTGGAAGCGCAGGTCGGTCTTGAAATCCTGAGCGATCTCGCGCACCAGGCGCTGGAACGGCAGCTTGCGGATCAGTAGCTCGGTGGACTTCTGGTAGCGCCGGATCTCGCGCAGCGCCACGGTGCCGGGTCGGTAGCGGTGAGGCTTCTTTACGCCGCCGGTGGCCGGTGCGCTCTTGCGGGCAGCCTTGGTGGCCAGCTGCTTGCGCGGGGCCTTGCCGCCGGTGGACTTGCGAGCGGTCTGCTTAGTACGAGCCATGACTGTAACAAAGGAAGAAAGGTATAGACTATGATACTTCGACAGTCGTTCTGCATCTTTTATACAATGAGACTATCGGCTATTGGACCCAAGAAGATTCAAATAAACCCGCGCTTTCCCGGGATTGGTCGGTCTATGCTCCTAAATCCTGATTAAAATATGCTTTCAGGTTGTTGAATAAACGTATGCCATCTCCGCCCCTCGGTGCCTCCGCCCCTTTGCTCCTCCGCCCCTTCGCTTCCTGTCTTATGCTTTCATCACTGTAACTGCTGTGGACAGAAATCTTGCACCGAATCTGTATATCCAATAGCCTCAGGATAAAAATATTCAACTCAGGTAGTAATATATCTCAGCATAGGAACTTCACTGAAAAAAAACTTTCATGGGATTGACTAGAGGTACTGTAAGAAGTAAATACTGCTTATCACATCCAAAGTCAATGTTGGATGCCGGGTAGGATTCTCATGGAGGTAACTCCTGTCAGTGAAATCCAAGGGGGAACACAAAACTACGAAGTACGCTTTAATGCTGGGTAACCGTTAGTCATGTCTTTACACTTTGAGATTGATGGCTTTAACAATCAGGTGCTAGTGGATTGTTTTAGTTGAAGTATACTAACGGTTCTCATCCTGGGGTCGACGCCTTAGGAAAACACCTGATGTTTATACTAAGACTCACAAAGTTGTCTCAAGAACGGAAAGGCTCCACAAGTGGGCGAAAGGGCCACAGAAACAGGTTGAGAACAGATAATAGCAAGACAACTCAAAACTATGTAGCAGCTCATTTTCCGGGTAAAAGTGAGTGGCTCTGAAAAGAGCCTTTGTTTTATGTAACTTGCACTAGGGCAGTCCTAGACAAAGATCAGAGAATTATTTTCCCTTGGCCTTGTGGTGGCTCTCGGTCTTCTTGGGCAACAGCACAGCCTGGATGTTGGGCAGGACACCGCCCTGCGCGATGGTCACGCGGCCCAGCAGCTTGTTGAGCTCCTCGTCGTTGCGGATGGCCAGCTGAAGGTGGCGCGGGATGATGCGGGTCTTCTTGTTGTCACGGGCCGCGTTGCCAGCCAGCTCCAGGATCTCGGCCGTCAGGTACTCCAGCACCGCCGCCAGGTACACCGGGGCGCCGGCGCCCACCCGCTCCGAGTAGTTACCCTTGCGGAGCAGACGGTGCACACGGCCGACGGGGAACTGCAGGCCGGCCCGGGAGGAGCGGGTCTTGGCCTTGGCGCGAGCCTTGCCACCCTGCTTGCCGCGTCCAGACATAACTGGCCTTAGATGGTAAGAAGAAAACAGAAGTAAAAAAAGTGTCTCACAATAAGAAACTGGGAACGAGAAACATTTATACCAACTGGAGGGATTCCGCTTGTGTTTTCTCATTGGTTAATATATAATACCCAATAGAAAAGAAGAGTTTGGCTGCATCATTTGCATATGGCGCTTTCTCAGTTTTTTTTTTTTTTCTTCTTCTTCTTTAAATTGCTACTTAAAAAACAAACCAAATTATTGGTCCTGGAAGTTGAACTGTGCTTCTCAGGATTAAGAACCGAGAACTCTTCTTACTTACTTTCCCAACCTTTCTTTGTTTCTTTGTTTCTTTCTTTTTGGTTTTTTGAGTGCCAATAATTGAATTTTTGAATATCATTTTTTTCTCATGATTTTGATATTCTTAAAACCTCTCAAATACAGAGCAGAAGTGTTTCTGAGTTGTCCAGAGCCATTTGTTCTTTTTCATGTTTTAGAATTATGCCTTTGTGACAGTGAAATGCTTCCTCCATTTCATATTTGTGCTAAGAGCATTTCAGGTCTAACTAGAACTTGATCTTGTATAATTCCATTCAAAAGCACCCAATTCTAGGAAACAGAGGTCAAGATGCCCCAGCTAACTTAGCTTCTTCTATTAAACTGTCTCTGAAGTTGCAGAATGAGACACCAGCCTGTGTGTTTTGTCTTTAAAAGCCCCTCATTCTAAATGCTCAGGACTAGGATCCTGAATACCTAAGGAACAAATAATTTCAATTAGCTATAAAGTGTCTGAGTGATCATCCCTGGTGTGTTTCTCATAAGAGGCTGAGTACCTATTCTAAGATTCTGTGTGTGATATGATATATAATATACACATTATTTTTTACATTGGGCAAATTATCCCTAAATTGCCTGATGGAGGACACTGAGAACATGGAGACTATGCTTAGTCTCTGACCCAAAAGTACACAATAAGATGTTAGGCCAATGGGATCCTGAAGTATATGCAGTAAAAATCATTCTTGTCTTGGTGATTGGAGAAAGCTTAGATAGATTTCGATCCATCATTTACCATCAAAGGTAAGACTGAGTGAATGAGACTAAGGACTCGCCTGCTCGTTGGAAAAGCCTTGCCCATCCTTCTGCCAAGCTATTTCCATCACTGTCTTGTTCTTTTTTTTTTTTTTTTACTTGTCCATAATACAAAACATGTTTATCATTTCCAGAACTCACTATTATCCTGCATTCTACTGAATGGACTAAAATGGGAAAAATTGATAAAAGTCTAAAACTTGGACTCCAAAACCCAAATAGAAAAAATCTTAAGCCTCTTTGAATTTCCAAAAAGGCAGCCTGACAGATAAGGCCAAACGAACTGGGAACAGATAACACCCTGCAGCTGTGTCAACATTTCTCTGTCCTGAAGATCAGATGGTTGTCCATTTGTAGTTGTAAAAGTGCCTGCCTAGGACATAATTAACAAACCTGTTTCCTATACAGCTTCCTGTTTAATTGCATCCTGCCTAAACATACAGTTATTGCTTTATCCTATGCAGCCATAAAAGCTTTGTAATCTCAAGACATCCAGTCTTTTGAACTTTCCCTTAAAAAAACCCCTCAACAAAAAAGTAGCACTTTCCTTGTTCCCCAATGGGCAGGGTCCTAGTTGCAACTTGTAATAAAGAAAGCTTTGCTTTTACATTTGGTATGTGGCTCCCTTGGTGGTGGATTTTTGGGGTTCCAAGTTCTGGGCATAACACTGCTACGTATGCATATCCAGCTCCTGAGTGTAACGGCTCATGGGCTGATAACTTAGGCCTCTGAAATACAGTTGTAGATGAATGAACAGTGGAAAACATATAAATTAGCAGTCTGGAAGAATCACAAGAAAGAAAAGTATGTACTGCAAAATCCAGTGTAAGCTAAAAGGTCTATGATTTTTTTTTCACTGTAGACCATGGGAATATAAGAAAAAACAAGTACCTTTTTTTTTTTAAGGGATTAATACATATGTGATCAAGTATATTAAATGAATGATAATAACATGTCTAGTGCTAACTTGTATTTCTTGTGTAAACTTGCCCTGCTTCAGGTTTACAAAAGATATTTGTCAAAATTGAACTTTTATAGTGTTTGTCTTCAGATGACTAAGAAGGGGTTCAAGAAATTTATGTGTTGGACTGGTATTTTCAGAATTATTTCATTACACTGAAGGATTTTTGAGAAGTATGGATTATTTTAGTCAATGGAGAAGAAAAATAAAAGAGATGAATAATGAAACCACAATAAAAGAAATGTTATAAGAATGTATTGTTTTACCCAGGCAGTGGTAGCACATGCCTTTAGTTCCAGCACTCAGGAGGCAGATGCAGGCAGATCTCTGTGAGTTAGAGACCAGCCTGGTCTACAAGACCTAGTTCCAGAACAGCCTCCAAAACCACAGAGAAACCCTGTCTCAAAACTGCTCCTGAAGAAGAAGGAAAAAAGGGGAGAATGTATTGTTTTAAAATAGAGTGATTAGATTATGTTGCCATTAACAATTGCCAACTGGAAAACATTTAGGAAATTGATCATACACACCTTTTGGAGAGAAAAATGCTACTTTTGCTCAATGTAAATAGCAATTCAGGAAGGCAGCTAGGAAATAGGTATGGAAAATATGCTGTTTATCATTGAACCCACAAATCATACCTCTAATATATCCCATAATGGGTTTTCATAACTACATAGAGAATTATCAAAACATAATTTTATTATTTAAAAACTTGTCTCAGTTTGCCTGCCATGTTTGGAAATCACTGGTAGTAGTGAATATTTTAAGTAATGGGCAGGTGGCATATTTTCAATTTAAAATTAAAATCTAAAAAAATAACCACCTGATTCACACACATATAATTTAAGTCATAAGATCAAAAAATACCAAGCAAGTAAGCAATCAAAAAACAAACAAACACCATCATGGGTTCCAGATGTAACTGGGTGAAAAGAATGCTTGTATAATATACATGAAGTCCTGGGTTTGAACGCCAGAACTATATGAACAGATACTAATGGCATATGCCTACATTCCCGGCTAATCCCAACACTTGGCAGGTAGAAGCAAGATGATCAGAAGTTTCATGCCAATCTCATCTACATAGTGAATTCAACTTAATTTAATTTAAAATTTGGCTGACAGATGCTGAAGGCAGAATTGAGAAACCTTCATCTTCCTACCTGCAATTAAACAAAAATAGGGCATCCTTTGGCTCTTGTTTATGCATTTGGCCCCCTATTTCTGCCACCCATTTTGTTGAAAACTTTCCTGATTTTCAAAAAATTGTCATTGTTCCTTCCAGTATGGCATAATATGAAGTAAAACATCAACTAATCACATCTTTCTGTGTGAAAAATAAAATAAAATAAAGAGGAAAAGTGGGCTAGCAAAAAGAAAACAATCTAGAAAATAATCACTACTTTATGAGATCATCCAGAAAATGGTAAATAATACAACCATGTTTTACTTCAAAGGGACATCCTCGAGGTAAGTTTCTTTAACTGCATACTTTGTTTGGGTCTTTTCTCAGTGTTGGGGTTGGGGGTCTATTCTGATAAGAAAATATTTTTAAGACAAAGACTTTAACATCAGTATTTTCTGAGTAGTGGCAGTCTCCTCTCTCTGTCTTTGTCTCTGTCTCTTTCTTGTATGTTTATCTGTCTGTGTATTTCTTGTTTTCGATACAGGACTTCTCTGTATAGCTTCAGCTGTCCTGGAACTTGTTCTGTAGACCAGGTTGCTCTGTAGATCTGCCTGCCTCTGTCTCCAGGCTTTAAAGAACCATGCCACCACTGGGTTTAAAGGATTGATCCACCATGGATTCTGACAGCTCTTGAAGTATTTGCATAGAATACTCAAGAGCCTGGCCTTCATTTCCAAGAAACCATTAAATCAATAAGAAAAGCTAGGGGTCAGTCCAAAATCATGGATTCAAAATACATATTGAAATATTTTCAATGAGTTAATCATTTTGATAAACTTTATTTCCTCACCTCTAATTACATAACCTCAAAGCCAGTGGGGGGAGGTGACTTATTTTTCTGTTCAATAAGTCTTTTGTCTCATCTGGCATTGTCCATTCTTCCTGTTCAATCCTTAGCTAGTCAAAGCCTTTACCAGCTTCTAGATATTTCTTTCAAAGTCTTGGGAGTCCGGGAGTCCAGTTGTCACCATGGTCCTTCTCAGCAAAGGAAATTGGTTAAAGATATTTTTTAACTCTTGTGAATTCCAGGCCCTATTACTGCTCAACCCTGACTATACAAAGCCCAAAATTTCTGGACGCAAGAAAATTTTCTAATTTAGAAAGCTGTGGTTGATTCCTATTGAAGAGCTGAATTAGCTGTTTATATACTAATTTTACACTAGAAACGTAAACTCTGTAACACCTGTAAACTGGAACTCTGACTATCTCAACACCTTAAGGACAACAAGAAATGGCGTCAGGTTTCAGGAAAAGTAAGATTATAGTCTAAAAATTTTGGGCAAAGGCCCAGCTTCAATTGCTTTACATGAACGCTAACCTAAGTGCCACACAGAAAGACACCAATTACAACTCTGTTTTGATAAGTGTGAGTGGCTCTGAAAAGAGCCTTTGGGTTAAGAGAGAGATGGGCGAGCTCACTTGGAGCTGGTGTACTTGGTGACGGCCTTAGTGCCCTCGGACACAGCGTGCTTGGCCAGCTCCCCGGGCAGCAGCAGGCGCACAGCCGTCTGGATCTCCCGGGACGTGATGGTCGAGCGCTTGTTGTAATGCGCCAGGCGAGAAGCCTCGCCCGCGATGCGCTCGAAGATGTCGTTGACGAACGAGTTCATGATGCCCATGGCCTTGGAGGAGATGCCGGTGTCGGGGTGAACCTGCTTCAGCACCTTGTACACGTACACCGAGTAGCTCTCCTTGCGGCTGCGCTTGCGCTTCTTCCCGTCCTTCTTCTGTGCTTTTGTAATAGCTTTCTTAGAACCCTTTTTGGGAGCGGGAGCCGACTTGGAAGGCTCAGGCATCGTTTTCAGACCAAAGCTAAACTATACTACAGTATTACAACGAGAAAAAGAAAGCTGATATGAACTAGAGTGTTTCATTTATAGTCTTGAAATGCAAATGAGGCCGTTAAATTCCTCACTTGTGATTGGACAACAATAAGACTTTGCAAATGAGGGTACCTAAAGTCTTATTTTCTACTGGACGTAAAAGCAAGCTTATTTTGACCAATAGGACAAAACTCTTTTGTGACCAAGCATAATCTACATCTGAATGTTGCTTTTCACTGTTTACATAACTTACATAATGTTTGGACGCGGCACGCAGGGCAGCAAGGCTCGTTCCAAGGTCAAGACCCGCTCGTTCCGGGCCGGCCTGCAGTTCTGCGTGGGCTGTATACACCGCCTCTTCCACAAGGGCAGCTAGTCCCAGCGGGTGGTCTCCGGCGCCCCTATGTACTGTAGTGCCTAACCGCCAAGATCCTGGAGCTGGCTGGCAACGCCGCCTCAGACAAGAAGATGCTCATCATCCCGCGCCACCTGCAGCTGGCTATCTGCAGCGACTAGGAGCTCAAGCTGCTGGGCCAAGTGACCATCGCGCAGGGTGGCGTCCTGCCCAACATTCAGGTGGTGCTGCTGCCAAGAAAATCGAGAGCCACCACAAGCCCAAGAGAAAACAGAGCCAATACCAAACTGGGGAGGTACTGCCAATTTATCTAAAGGCTCTTAGAGCTATCCACGCTTTCACAAAATGAGCTGACAACAAAGATCTAGTCTCCTACTTTTAATCCATGATTGCAGAAACAAATGTTGCCACGCCTAAGTAAAATTTCAAGACCATATTCTGTCGCCAATTTACTCCAAAACAAAATTAACGTATTACGTGTGTGTCTAAAAGTTCTTAAATTCCAAAAGCTATGCAGGCAACGCGTCACCCTATACCCTTGGGATACTTGTCCTTTTAAAGAGCAACAATCCAAATTAGGTTTATAGAATCATAATTTTACCTTAACTCGGAAGTAGTTATAAGGCATTACACATTGTACCGTGGCAAAAAAAAAAAATAAGGCCAGGAAGCGCAGAAAAAATGGAGCATGATCAAGATGCTCAGTCTTCAAATTCTACATAAAACGATCGAAAAAAAAAAAAAGTAATATGAGAGGGTCAGAATGATTTGGCCAATCAGGTACTCCTACGCTGCACATTACTCAGAGTATTATTCAGCCAATGAATTTGTGGCGCGGGACTTTCGAAAAGTTACAAGGCCAATCAGAATGTTTCTAAGTATATTTAAGGGCAAGATTTTCCTTTCTTTGTAACACTTGTGTCTCTTTCCCAACCATGGCTCGTACTAAGCAAACCGCTCGCAAGTCCACCGGCGGCAAGGCTCCGCGCAAGCAGCTGGCTACCAAGGCTGCCCGCAAGAGCGCACCGGCCACCGGGGGCGTGAAGAAGCCCCATCGCTACCGACCCGGCACCGTGGCGCTGCGCGAGATCCGGCGCTACCAGAAGTCCACCGAGCTACTGATCCGCAAGCTGCCGTTCCAGCGCCTGGTGCGCGAGATCGCTCAGGATTTCAAGACCGACCTGCGCTTCCAGAGCTCGGCCGTCATGGCGCTGCAGGAGGCCAGTGAGGCCTACCTGGTGGGTCTGTTTGAGGACACCAACCTGTGCGCCATCCACGCCAAGCGAGTCACCATCATGCCCAAGGACATCCAGCTCGCCCGTCGCATCCGCGGGGAGAGGGCATAATGTTATTGCCCTCAACATTTAAAAAAGGCTCTTTTAAGAGCCACCCAAAATTTCATGTAATAGTGCTGTACCTATGAGTGCGTTCTAACTTATTGTCTTGCTGGATTCTTAATGCCTAGTAACACTGAACTGAATCTAGATAAAATGTTCCATGTCATTACCTGTATCTAATACTGCACATAAACTTGCCAGAAATTCAGGTGAACCCCTTAGCATAGTGTTCCTTGACGCCTCACATTAGAAATGGCAGCAACAATTAGTATTGCTTAATATATAAGCATCTGTAGACACTTCATCTCACTAAGCCCAAAATGAGTATAATTAAATATTTGTCACCCAAAATTCCAAATGTTCTATATCATATCAATCACATGAAGGTTGCTTCTGAGACGGTTTCTCTGTAGCACTGGCTATTCAGGAACTGTTCTGTAGACCTGGCTTGCCTGGAACTCTGAAATCTGATGGCCTCTAATTGATAGGTGTTGGGACTGACTAAAAGCATGGGCCAACACATCTGGCATGAGTTGAATTGTAATTGAGATTATGATCAGGTGAACATAAAATGAAGACCTTCACTATATATGATGCAAATATTGGAAATATAGACTAAAGAAATGAAACAAAAAACAGCCTAAATGACATAAAACAGAATGACTACAATCTTCAAACCCCGTCCAAGGCCTTTTAGAAGTTGGAGATCAGACACTTGGCTTTCATTAACTTCCAGGTAAACTTCCCTCTAAACTTTGGCTTTTTCAAATTATACATGGCCTGCATTCATTTTTGCAGAAGCTCATGTGCATTAAAACTCTGGCACTGGGGTGTAGCTGCTTTCTAGAATGCTTTGGATGGCCATGCCATTATCAGAGAAAGGGGAGAGGAGCACATAGTGATCAATAAAAACAATAAAGTCAGTTAATAAGCAATTTATAGATTTATTCAGTATTGAATAACATCTAAAAAGAGAGTGATCCTTGTGGGAAAAAGTACAATTAAAACAGTGGATCATCAGAGAGAACCCCCAGCAGACAATATTGGTATGAATAAAGTACTGAGAAGAATCCTTAGCTTCATCAGGAGGTTGAAGCAAGCTGATAAGGAATTTGAGGCCTGGCTGGACAGTGAGTTAACATAAGTCAGCATGGGCAACAAAAAGGACATCTTGTCTCAAACAAATGCAAAGGTAGTCAGACTGGATTGTTACTTATAATTATTACTAGATTTCAAAGCATTTTCTACCACTTCAGACTTAAGGATTTTAATAAATTAATTAGCTACCAGCAAATATTACCAGCCAGTCTCATAGCAAACAAATACAATCAATACCTTCTGATAAATAGGTTTGTACCAAAATGGATGATCAAATATAATTTCTTCTTCATCTTCAAAGGTGATTCTGTTTCAGATATAAGGCTGCCTCCAGGTAGACAGGAGAAGCTGTGATAGACTGGCCTTGATTAGATTCTGAACTTGGTCAGAGCTGACATGAAGAGACATGGGTGAGGCAGTAAAACACAAGATATTAATGATTCTCTCTAAACTTCAGGGCCACTTCAGAATTATTGCTTCCTTGGAAAGCGCTAGACACTACCCCAGAGCACATGTTTTTGTTTTCCCTAGACTATTTACTATGAGAAATGTCTAGTTCAAACTGTGCTTTAAATGTAGTTTTTTCCAGATTACAAAGAGTTCATATGAAAAAAGTTAACAAAATATTTTCGCATTACTTATTGAAATATTTGTTTATCCTAGGTTGACAGAATTAAAATATGTTCCAGTTGTTTCTTTTTAATTCTTAATGCAAGATTAGAAAATTTTAATTAAATGTTTCATATAGTTTTGTGGAAAATTATTACTATATAGAAAATAATGATACTGCCTCGACGACCAGAAGCCACCTAATTGAATCCTTAATGTTGCCAAGCCTCCATTCTTAATCTCTAAAATGGAAGTAACAATAACACCCACCTCAAGGTGCCATGCCAAGACTGTTATGAAATAAATGTGTAATAAACAGCTACAGTATTTAGTTTACTACAAATAAGTGACCAGGAAATGCTAGCTCTCAATAGGTGATGTTACCACCAGTCCCTAGTCCCTGATCCCTTCCAAACTACTCCTACTAATGCTGGATGGTGTAATCCTGCATCCATGGTTTTTGTTCATCTGTAGCTAGGATTTCAAATGCAAAGCTATTGTCTATATTTCCTTTCAGTTGGTGTAGCTCAATTGCCTGTTAGCTTTAGGCCTAGGGCATGTAATACTATATCTAATTGTTGAAAATTACAAAATTAGTATGGATGGATATAAGCTTGGAAAAAAAAAAAAGAATGTTACTTCAATGTTTGCCATGTTGGCATAAGAATTATGTTGAACTGAAAATCAGCAAATGCAGGAAAAGTCTGTTTTCCTATAGCCTACCTAAAATCAGAATAAATTTGTCTTGTGAAGGAATCTCCATTCTTATACTTGGACAAGGAGAGCAATTCCTACAACTCTGGATGTGGAAAGGGCAGTGACATGAGGCCTTACTCAGACAACAAGACTGTCAACAGGGTTTGAATATCTGTCTCCTACAAGTTTTCACCAACTGTGTCATCTTTTTCAACTCGAACCCCACTTTCCTGGGCTACCATAATTCATTTGAAGTTGCTCAGTCTAACATCATCTTTGAGCTTCATTCATTTTCTATGAACTCTGTGCTTACAAAATATGAATGAATTTGACTTTTTTTTTTTTTTTTCATCTGAGCTTTATCAGTTCACAGGTCACCAGGAAACACAAAAGTACAAGTAGGCAATTTAAAAAACATAAACTGAGAAAATAATTTTTCTTAAATAGACCAACTTTTAGGCTTAAGATAAACAGCTGGTCAGACCTAAGCCAGTCACCTATTGGAGCACTTGTGTTGTGAGGAAAAGGGAAAAAAAAAGTAAAGAACATTAAAAAAAAAAAAAAAAGATGGGGGGTTGTAATGTGGCATCTAAAGGCTATGGGTGAGATAATGTTTACCTCTCAAATTAAAGGAAGGTGTTCCATATAAAAGTACAGACACAGGCTGGGTATACAGCTCAATGGGAGATCATTTGTCTGACATACACAAAGTCCTAGTACCAAAATTGAGGAACATTTACAAAAGGAAAAAAAAAATATTTTAAGCAATATTTCCTATATTGGGATCTTTTTTTTTTTTTTTTGAGCTTTGTTGTTCTACTATTATTAATTTCTTTCCTGGTGATGGAACTCAAGGCCTCACTAAAGAAAAGCATGCTGCTTCCACACAGCCTCAGTCTTTAAACACTATTTGTGGTTTTAGTTGAAGTAACATTTTTGTTGTCTGGGTATTTGGTTACTTTGATTTTTGTTTTCCTGGTTTGTGTGTGCCTTTGTTGTTTTGGTTTGGTTTGCTTTGTTTTTGACAGTCTGTCTACATAGCTCTGGCCTTCCTATGAAGCCTTGAATTCTCCAGGTAGATCAGGCTGACCTTGAGCTCACAGAGATCCACCTGCCTTTGACTCCCAAGCGGTGGGATTAAAGGTGTGCACCACCATAACCAGCACGTATTTTTTTGGTGTAGTTGTTTGTTTGTTTTGTTTTGTTTCCAGATAAGATTTTGCTAAGTAGTTCAGTTTGGGTCTACAACTCAAGACCATCCCACTTTAGCTCCCTAAGTGTTGACCTCAAAAATGTGCCACCTCACCCTGTGCTATATTTAGCATCTACAATTATATCCCTGGTTGCTACAACTTGATTCAATTCAGGTCAGTGATGTATTTCCAGTGACAGGAGTTCACATGCCTCAGGGAGGAACTAGGAAACTCCACCAAGGGATGAGGAAATACAGCCTGCACATCTTTTATCTAGGCCCTCCCCTGTAATTTTGCTCTATTCTACCCTTTGGCTCAACAGATTCTGTTTCTACTTTGTGGTGGCTCAGAAGACAAGGCCCCAGTCACCTGACAGCAGGTTACCTCTGCTCCTGTAACTCCGTTCCATCTTTTAACTATTTTTTAAATTTTTAATTGATTTAGTTTTGATTAAGGGTCTCAACTATGTAGCCCTGCCTGGCCTAGAATTCACTAGACTAGGCTTATCTAGAACTCGCAGAGATCCTGCTGCCTGTCTGCAGATGGCTGGGATTCATTTTGCCATCACACCCAGCTCAATTCCATTTTGAATAGAAAATTTCTGATGATCTTAACTGGGCCCAATGACATCAGAAACACTCAGACATTATCTTCATAATTTCAGTTATGAAGTATTAACAGTACATATTTTTAACATTCTTATCATAAACAAAGATGAGAGCAGAGGTCTGAAGTCATTCTGAAGCTGTATTTATCTATATTGTCTCCACAGCCACAGGTGGCTAACCAAAAGCAGGAAATAGTACATATTCTGGACTGAGATTCACTATAAGTAAAAAATACATATATCACAAAGATGCAGTACAAAAACAAAATTGTAAAATATTACCTATCTTATATTCATGTTATATTCAATGACAATATTTTGGATGTAGTGGATTTAAAATGGATTTTACTTGTTTGGTTTTTTTCCTTATGAATGGTGCCAAGAAGCTTTCTTCTGAGTGATATGATAAAAGAGAGCATATTAAACACCAAAAAAAAAAAGGAGGGAGAGAGGGGAGGAAGGAAGGAAGGAAGGAAGGAAAGAAGGAAGGAAGGAAGGAAGGAAGGAAGGAAGGAAGGAAGGAAGGAAGGAAGGAAGGGGAAAAAGAAAATAACTGGGCATGGTGGCAAAGACCCAGCTATAGGAGGCTGAAGCAGGAAGGTCATAAATTTCAGGCCAGTCTGGGCTACAGACAGGATGAGACCTATTTCACAAAATAAAAAGTAAAAACAATGGGACACATTTCAGTAGTAGAATACCTGATAGCATGTTCAGTCCCCTGGAGAACTATTAAGGAGGGGTCGGGGTGGAAAAGAATTATTTATCCCTTATTGAAGTCATTTATGTTAACAGTTTACCAATCAATATCTGAATCCTTGCTATGTGTTAAGTACCTTCCACACTAAATAAAGACTGTAAGTCTACCTTAGAAACTACCAGGAAGACCCAAACAGAAACTTGAAATTTAGTCCATCCAAGGAATTTAGCTTATGGCAAACGTGAAACTAAAGCTGGGAAGAATGGAGAGTTCACAGATAATCCCGAGGGCGTGGGGAAAGGGGTATGGGTCTGTTTACTATGTTTGCACTAAAAAAAACTATTTGTTCATTTAAACTGAGGACTCAAAAACACGGAGAAAACTACGTTTTCCTTTCTTGATCTCCTAGCTTTCCCAGGTGATAAACGTTTGGGATACTGAAATTAACACTGGATCCATTTTTGTGGAAATGCGTTTTGGTTTCTAACAGGCATGCTTCCCACCACTATGGGAAATACCAGCAACGATCCAGACTTCAACAAAACCTATTCCGATTTAGTGAAAAACGGGAATCTTAATCACTTTATCTAGGAGAAAAGCTGCGAGTATGAATCTCCAACAGTGAATGAAAACGAAGAGCTTTTATTTGAAACATCCCAACACATCGTCAATAGGTAGCCAGTAATTTATTCCTCGCTTAAATATTTTGGACTGCCCAAAGCATAGCAAGAAACCTCAGTATTTATGCAAGGTCAGTCGTTAAGAGTCGACACACATGTACAACTGAAGCACTTCAGGAAGCTGAGGCACAGACACAAATGGCTGACCAAGGTTGTGACGCAGTTAAGAGTCGAAACATCAACTGTAGAACTTAGGGATGCTGAGGCACACACACACACACACACACACACACACACACACGGCTGACCAAGGTTGTGACGCAGTTAAGTCGACACACATTAACTGAGACACTTGGGGATGCTGAGACACACACACACACACACACACACCCACACACACACACACACACACACACACACACACACACACACACAC